TTTGGATAAATGGGTGTGGTCTTATGTTGCATAGTTTGGTTGGGGCTGGTATTTTGCAAGAATGGCATCTAAAAGTGAGGGCCACTATTCTCTTCTCTTTGTATCTCTTTCATTCATTCTTTGTCTCTCTTACTCTCTCACTTACTTTACTCCTCTGTATCCTGTCCTTATTCTAACTCATCACTATATTACTATTACTCTGTTACTGGTACCTCTTGTTCTCTATAGACTATCAACCAGTCGAGAGAAGGAGTCACTCCACAGTAAAGGTAGGAGACTACCTATATATGTGGGGTGGGCTCGGATCTGGAGTAGACTATGATGTGATGGAGGTGTATCACTTACCAACTGGAGCTTGGGACCAGAAACCTACTACTGGTACCCCACCACCAGGTACCTGGGGCTATTCATCTGGTGCTATTGGGAAGGACATCTATTATTTTGGTGGACGTGGTGGTGATTATCAAAACAGCTTACATTGTTTCAATGTGGATTCATTCAAGTGGAAGGAACTCTCTCCTTCTAGTTCTGATCGCGATCCAATGAAGAAGGACTACTGTGGAATGATATCAGCTCATTTTGACAGTGAACACTATCTCGTAATAATCGGAGGGCTGGGATCATCTTCTACACCTAAGCAACCTGATGCTCAGTATTCAGCTGGTGGTAGATGTAATGAGATACATTATTACAGGATTTCATCAGGTCAGTAATTCTCATCATTGATACACAATAGTTGATGAGTATTTCAAACTGAATAATTTATATTAATGTACATAAAACAGATTGTTAATAATTAAGTGTGTTTGTTAGTGTGTGTCTGTGTGTCATGTGTTTGTGTGTGATGGTGACGTGTGTCTATATGTGACGTGTGTGTGTGTACTAATACATACATTATGATGTGTCTGTGTATGATAGTGCATATAATGTATGTGAGAATTTATGAATGTATGACGTGTGTATGTGACGTGTATCTATAATGTGCATGTTATGTGTGTTTGAGTATTATCATGTATCTGTGTGTGTGTGATGTTTGTATATGTACACAGGGGCGTAGCTGAGGTAGGGCCTGAGGGGGCCTGGGCCCTACCATCAAAGTGGCCTTAATTATATTCATTGAAATTATAAGCCAAAAGATTATATTCATTGTTCTTACAATAACAAAAGGGGGTGGCTGATAACCACAGCTCTTTGCTCAGCTTGCAGGAAAATGCTTCCATTTTGTTACGTAAAAGGGGTGTGGCCAAGATCGCGGCACGCTTCGCGCGCCATTTTGTCTCCTTGCCCTACCGTCACCCAAGGTCCAGCTACGCCCCTGTATGTACATGTATCTATACATAATCCTCATAAAAAATCTTAGCAAGATCTTGTGTGATATTATAAGGTTCAGTAAGATGATGTAAGATGTCACATGAATAGGCATCTTGTAAAATCTTGCCTTGCACAATCTTGCAAGATCAGTAGCAATAATTTGCATGATCTTACATGATTTTAATCATACAAGATCACTTAAAATCTTATTTACAAGATCTTTTATGTACTTGAATTTAAATTGATCATGCAAGATTGCAAGATAATGTATGTTCATAAGATTGTTGCAAGATATTTTATGATTGCAAGATCAAATGTAAGTTAAAGATCTCACATTATATCAAGACCTTGTAAGATTACAAGATCATGTGTGAATTATTAAAGATCTTAAACAATGTTGGTTATTTCAAGATCTTTCATGAAATCAAGATCATGTATGAATAAAGATCTTGTATTGCTTGTAAGAATGCAAGATCATGCAAATTAAAGATCCTGCATCATGTTAAGACCTTGTAGGATTGTAAGATCTTTTATGATT